GGGGGAAATTGCAATACGTCGTTGTGGCAAGGAAGACAAAGTGTTTAAGAGGGCATTACTTTTCGCTGGGCAGAGGCCAATCGAGGAATGCCAGTGTTGTTGTTTAATACATGCAAACACAGTGTGATTGTGAGTAAGACACGAAAAGAAAGCAGAATATACACAAGGAGGTGATGATTGTATAAAATTTATGCATAAATGTAGTTCCAATGATACCGACTAACGACTGGTTAGCTGGGCTCGAAATGCAGCGAAAACAAATGAACCTTGTAGGGTGCTCGATATTAGGTGCGGATCAGAAATAAGGTTAAGTTGAAGAGAGGGCTGAGTGCCTTCACTTCTTTTTCTTCATTGTCAAGTTGCCCTGCTTGGCTTGTTCTGCTAGTTGCTTTCGGCGTTCGAAGGCAGCCATTTCTTCAGCCAAGATTCTACGCTTCTCCTCTAGTTTCTTCTTCTCCTCAGCGTGCTGCTTCTTGATGGCGTCAAATTTCGCTTGCAACTGCAAGCGATTTAGTGGAAGAAAGAAAGGCACATAAACTGGTTAAAAGATTTCCTTCGAAATGGCTACAAGACGAAAAAATGTGAAAACATTCCTCCTGGAAGTATGTAAGGGGCTGGGCTTACCCCCGGAGACAAGACAGACAGTTTTTTGTCGTCCAAAGTAGCCTTTCGTGTTAACATCATATTAGTTTAAGTCGCGTGGAGAAAAGCAAGAACCGAATGTGGGTTATGATGCGGACAAAGCACACTAATAAGGTCATCGACAGTGCATAACCTAAATGCAACGTCTTTCCTCATTTGCATGTGTATCAATGCTCAGTGTGGGCAGTTCAAATAATCACACCTCGAACGATTACTATCGAAAGCCAGCAGCACAGTACAAAAATGCGGGAATAAAATTGCTCTAAAGGTCGGCTTTGGTCATATTCAACTACGGCTCTAGTTGGCCACCTCGGGGAAGGAGCGTCTGTCTATTAAACTAGTTGGTGAATGACTAACATGTACACGAGTGGGGAGCGGTTAGACGGTGTGCAGTAAAGACTAAATACGAAATAGGCAGGTTAGTTCGTCTGCAGAGTTGGAAATAGTGGACCAGTAGCGGCAGCGTTATCTGGGCTTGCAAGGTGTGACACATGGCAGAGACCCGATGACGGTGCTGTGACATGGCGACCGTGAACAGGTTATATTGTTACTACTGACTGGTGGTTAGATTAAAAAGGTGAAAAGACAGATAAGTATGTACAAATAATTATGGCAGTTAGTTAGTTCGAAGCCGCCCATACTTAGAGCTAAGCTTCGAGGGGGGAGGAAGGCGAGAAAATCCCGGGCATTCACGCTTAAATGGGCAAGGCACGTGGCCGACTATGTGAGCCAGTCAAAACTCTACGGCGCGTAAACCTGGAATTCATCCTAGCACTTAACTAACATCACCTTGCCAACCTTTGAGGGTACTAAAAGTGAAGCGGAAAGGACGGGATCCCGACACTTAGGTCGGGATCTTTACAACGCTGAAACAGAGGCAGCACAGAAGAAGAAT